TTGGTTTTTCGAGACAGGGTTTCTCTGCGTAGCTTTGCGCCTTTCCTGGAGCTCACTTGGTAGCCCAGGCTGGCCTCGAACTCACAGACATCCGCCTGGCTCTGCCTCCCGAGTGCTGGGATTAAAGGCGTGCGCCACCACCGCCCGGCTTACAACAGGCACTTTAAAAAGTAGTAGTTAATTTCTTTAAGGACCCGAAGAAGAAAAGATAATTATTCACAGGGACTAGAATTAGTAAACCAGGCTTCCAGTATGCTACCCTGTAGACATACTTGTTTCCACAGGAAGTTGCTTTGCATACAGGCTTGGCAAAAGTGAGTGCCTTCAGTAGACTAGTTTGGGCCATGTGACAAAATCCTTTCTGTCTTGGGAATCACAAGTCACTTTGAATTTTGGATCAATTTTAATTCTGTTTAATTAGTATTTTGTGATTATGCTATTAATTAATTTTAATGAATTTTGTTTCAGTATTTCCTTGTGTACCAGAACGTCCTGGAATGCCTTGCCCAGGAGAAGACAGTGAGTGTTTTTAGTACTCTGTACATTTGAAAGAGTTACTCAAAATGAAAAGAAACAGAACTTGTTGTTTTGTTTGTTTTCTAGACAAGGTCTCTGGCCATCTTGGAACTCGCTGTGTAGCCCAGGCTGGCCTCCACTCAGATCCACCTGCCTCTGCCTCCCGAGTGCTGGGATTAAAGGTGTGTGGCACCATGCTTCCCTTAAGAGATGAACTTTTAATTTGTTTGATTCATTCTGTTTCCTCAGTCTAATTTAGAACATATTAGCAGCTGCCTGAGCTCTGCTTTTGCCAAATGGAATTCATCTAGCTGCATCTTACATAATTATCTCTTGTGCATATAAAAGGACAATTAAGTCATATGGCTTCATGGTTTTTAATTTTGGATATTTTCAAATCTGTGGAAATTTTGAAACATCTTTGAAAAAAGATACCTACATATCACTTGCCCAGATTTAACAGTACTTAGCATTTTCTGTTTACCTCTGTACTTGTTTGTGTGTACACATATGCATGACTTCTGAATCTAATAACCCACTTGTTTCATTCATTTGTTTGTATTCTTGTGCTTACCATATAATGTGAGAATGATTGCCTTGACACTTGACTTCTAGACAGCTTTGTAGATGTCACATTCTTAGGAATTGTTATAGAATCTCATTTTCATTTATGGTTTCTGCACGTATCCATGACTTCAGGAGCAAAGAAGTAGTGAATGTTTTACTTTGACTTATGTGAAATTTCCAAGTCTAAGCTTCTAGTGTTGTGACTTAATGCCCTTTAGTGGACAGAGAAAACAAAGAGTTGTAAAGTTAGAATGATGTCATGTGTTACACAGGAAGATGGGGGAGAAGGAATGGCGAGCAGGAGGTGGTAGTGAGGACGCGGGTTTGTAGTCAGCTGGCGGTACCAGAGTTAGCGCCATGCTGCCTGTCTTTGCAGGCTGCTGGGGAGAGGGCTGTCTTCTCTGCCTAGAGCCAGAATGGTGGAAGAGTTGACACTGTAGCACACCCTGTGCAGAGCTCCATTGTAGGTTATGGCAACACGCTCTCCGGGTAAAATGCCGTTTCTAGGCTTCCCATACACCGCATGCTCATTTACCTTTTAAAATTAGTGGTGGAAGTCTGACACCACCTTTCCCCAGGAAAGTAAAAATTGAACTAGAGTATAGAGGAAATGGATAACCATGACTGTGGTCTCTCCAGAGAGTGTAGACACAGGCAGAAGCCCCTGTGTTAGGGTCAGGAGGCACGCGGCAGGGCTTCTTCCATTGCAGGGAAAGGCCCTGGCACACTGTGTCCCCAGCTCTGCAAGCAGAAAAAAGACTGCTAAGAGCATGGTGGCTGGTACTTTCTATCTTAACTTGAAATAGTGAAGTCAGTGCTCCTTCTGCTTTAAAGTAGTTTAGAAATGTTCCATACTAGTCAGTACCAGTGAGGAATATCACCAGTAGACATCTCAGGGCCTAGTAGACTCCAGAGATTACTACACAGTGCATGTCATAGTGATGGAGAGCCAAAATTACAAATGGATTAGGTTTGATTATTTAGAATGTCTTCCGATGTGTTTTAGGAATAGTGATGGCGCATGCCTTTAATCCCAGCACTCAGGAGGCAGGGGCAGGAGGATCTCTGTGAGTTTGAGGCCAGCCTGGTTTAAGGGAGTTCCAGGACAACTAGGACTATTAACACAGAGAACCCTGTTTCAAAAAAAGAAGAACAAGTGTTTCTAGGAGCTGGAGACGTGGCTCAAAGGTTCAGAGCCCTTGCTGCTCTTCAAGAGGATCTGGGTTTGGTTTCCAGCACTCATATGGTGGCCAACAACCATCTCTAACTCCAGTTCCAGGAGATCCAGCTCCCCTGTCACGCCTCCAGAGGACTAGGCACACACATGGTATGCATACATACATGCACACAAAACTCTAATAAATGTTTAAAAAATTAAAAAGGATAATAGATATATAAAACTTTTGAAGTGCTAGACCTCGGTCTAGCTGTGTGGTAGAATGCTTATGCAACATGTGTGAGATCCTGGGTTCAACATCCAGTATTATACCAAAAACAAACGGAAAAGGTTAAAAGTTTGTTGTCGATGGAGTTCTATGAAATATCACTTACAAACAACTTCCATGAAGTAAAATGCACCTTTACAGTGAAGAAGAGATGCACAGTTACTCCTTGGAGTGAGCACTGTCATTCTGACATTTGTATGCCTCTTTGATGTAATGCCATAAGGAAAAATAGCAATATTTTATTTTATTTTTAATTGTGCGTGTTCATATCGGTGCAGATGCCTGAGAAGTAGAGAGCATCTGATCCCATATATATATATATATATATATATATATATAAACATTTAACAAAAGAGTAAGTGGTAGCTTGTAAAGCAGGCAAAGGATACAAGTATTTACTTCTTTAGCTTATCCAAGAGCTTCAGTTTTTTTCAGATGTTAGGGGAAAATCTCTTTAAAATAAAGCAGTACTAATTATTCCAATTGGTGCCCCTGGTGTGTGTTTCTAGCTAGTCCTTTAGTGAACCCATGTTACAGTTTCAGTTTCTAGTGTGTGTAACTGTATTTTTTCCAGCAATAAATACGGAAAAGTCAGGTGTAGTTAAGTAGCTTTTATTCAGACTTACTCTCTTTAAACTTTGAATCTCTCTTCAGAATCCATTTACCGAAGAGGGGCCCGCCGGTGGAGAAAGCTTTATTGTGCAAATGGCCACACTTTTCAAGCCAAACGGTTCAACAGGGTAACTTATTTTGTTGGATTCTAATGCTCTGAGACATCTATTTGTATTTGTTTTTTCCTTCCTGTGAGAGAAAGATGGTTTGTTATTAATTAAGTCTTGAGTCTCCTAAGGGAGGCAAGCAAGCAGGAAGGCCTCGGGTCTGCGGCGGCCTGAAAAACATGAATTTTTAGAGTTAAAGGAAATTATGTTTAAGTATAATTCAAAGAAGGCAGAGATGATCAGAGTTTATTGTGAAAGCCCTTTAATTCACTATTTAGAAAGCAGTAATAGTAGCAAACACTTGGCTAGCTTTACTGTGTACGAGGCAGTTTCCTGAGTGCTTTCCCTGTGCTGACGCACTAAATCCTTACAACAGCCCTGTGAAACAGGTACGGTATTTCCATTTTATAGATAAGAAAAATGAAGTTAAGTCTTGTCTTAGATGTTTCAGCCAGTAAGTACAAAGCTGGAGTTTGCGAGCAGGCAGTTTGTTGATGTTGCCTTTTTCGACACAGGTTCTAACCGTGTTGCTACAGTTGGCCAAGAACCCATGGCAGTCCCTTTTGTCTGCCTGAGTGTGGGAGTGCCTGGTTTAACTTCTTCTGTTAACTGTACTTTTATGGATTTCATTTCTACAATTAATATTATTTCCTGAATTCATCAATAGAAATGAATGTACAAGATCCCCAAACTCTTATTGCCAGTGACCCTGGCATTACCAAGGCTTTGGGCACTGAGTTCTCTAGGAAAGCAGGGTTTGCCCTCTGCATAGTCTGGAAGGCTATGTGGTTTATTAGCCATTTTTCCTGTGTTCATTACTGTGAAATTTTTGTGAAGATATTCATATCTCTGAAAGCTACTGTCTTCTGTTTTTCATTTTTCCCCCCACTGATCTTCAGTAGAAGCCTTTGAAGAAAAATCATGTGAGAAAATTTTGTTTCATTTGATTTTGCCCTGTTTTGCTTTTTTGAGACAGAGTCTCACTATGTAGCCTTTACTGGCCTGGCACTATGTAGACCAGGCTGGCTTTGAACTTACAGATCAGTATGCCTCTGCCTTATGAATGCTGAGGTTGAAGGCATAATGAGCAAGCTGTTGGGAAATAACTATGTTTTTTTTTTTGTTTGTTTGTTTGTTTTTGTTTTTTTTTGGTTTGATTTTTATTTGTTTGTTTGTATTTTGAGACAGGTTGTATACCTCTGGCTGTCCTGGAACTTACTCTGTAGACCAGGCTGGCCTGGAACTCCAGCCATCCACTTGCCTTTGCATCCTGATTGCTGGGATTTAAAGGTATGCTGCACCACCACTGCCTGGCTGTGATAAAAGTTCTTGAACTTCCTCTTTGCAGCGTGCTCACTGTGCCATCTGCACAGACAGAATCTGGGGACTTGGACGACAAGGATACAAGTGCATCAATTGCAAACTTTTGGTTCATAAGAAGTGCCACAAGCTTGTCACAATTGAGTGTGGGCGGCATTCTTTGCCACCGGTAAGGCATCGGGTTTTGTTTGTTATGTATGTGTGTAGCATGCTTCATTTAACAGGGTTAAAGCAGGAAGGTATTATAGAGCCACATCTTGGGAAATACAATGTGTAGGAGTTCTTTACATTCCACTTAAGATACGTACACCTTGGAAGTCTTGAAATAGCCAATATCAAATGTCATCCAGGCAGTATTCACGTTTTTAGTTGTCTGATAAAAGTTAGAATTTTTCATTCTGAATCAGGATTCAAAGTGTTCTTGATTGATGTTTCTTCTATACTTTTTAAATTCCTGGTTCCTCCTTTCTCCCACCTGTTTTTCTCCTTAGAATTTTATTGTAGGAGAAACAATTGCTTTTTAGTCATTTAAAGTATTTAATAATTTTGTTTATTACTTTGAGTGTGTCTCTTTTTTACATACTTTTAGTAAAGTGATGTCATTGATGTCCATCCCTTTCTAAGTAATTTTTCTCACTGAACAATATGATTTGGTCATCTTTTTCATACATGTTTTTATTTATGTGTATGTGTTTATTTGAGCATTTGTTGTGTGTGCTCTGTCCTTGGAGGCCAGAAGAGGGTGTCAGATCCCTTGGAGCTGGAGTTCCAAGTGTTGTGAGCTGCCCAGTGTGGCTGCTGGGCACTGAGCTGAGGCATTGCTGAGCGGTCTCTCTAGTCCCCTTCGTTACCTGTTTTCTTCGTTGTTATTGTGCGTGTGAGTGTTCTTTCATGCAGCTGTGATGCATATGTGCCACAGCATCTAGAGGTCAGAGAGTAACTTGGGAGATTGTTCCTAGGTTTCAGAGGGAGCTCGGGGAGAACAGGTAATGTAGAAGTGGGATCACAGTAGATAGTTTTCTTCTTTTATTCTGTAAACTGTGTTATTATGTGATTCATAGGAGTATTGTGCGGCTTTATATAGCTATGTATTATAATAATGTAATTCACAGCACTTAAGTTTTTCACATTTAAGTTTTAGTATGATACGTCTCATTGAAATACTGTCATTTCTGGATTTATAGAGGTTTGAGGATTTAAAAGGAATCTCTAAATTACTGTGTCTTTGGAAATGTTTGTAGGAACCAATGATGCCAATGGACCAGTCATCCATGCATCCAGACCATGCACAGACAGGTAAGGGTGAGTAGCAGTTGGAGACTGCTTTGGGGTGCTTTTTTAAGTGTAATTTCTCATATTAGACTTCATTTCTTTTTTTATTTTTTGAATTATCATATAGAGTATTAGGTTTTCTTATAGCATTTTCAAGTAAAACTTTTGCTACTTCCCCTTCCCGGTTTTCTCCCACATGTCCCCCACCTTAAGCCCTCTGACCCCAGGACCCTCCTTTCCACTGTGGTAACTTTTTTTTTAAGCCTAAGTTTAAAAACATAATGTACCTAAGCATATTTTGTGATAGTAAAACTTGTCACAATATTTTAATATACATATTTAGCATTTGAAAAAACAACTGTGTAAATTAACAGTTGACTTTCTTAGTTCAAACAAATTCTTCTGAGGATCTCTAAATCCTCAGAAGTTTCTTTTCCACAGTGAGAAAGTACAAAACTGAATTTGGAGCTGTGTTGACTGTGGAAGCAACTTTGTTCTATTCAGATCCTTATTCTGGAAATGTCGAGGCACAGCATAGCAAACTGACCATGGGCGTGAGTTAAGTGTCACACAGGAACAAGTCCTAAGCGTGTATTTGGGGAATTCTGAAGCTAAAAGCATTTTCTGGAAGGTCAGACTGGTCGCTTGGTCCTAAAAGAAGCTTGGAAAGTCTGGGCTGAGGGCTCTTACTTCCCGACTCCCATCAGCTCTGAGGAGCAGAAGCCCTGACCTGGTCATCTCTTCATCTCTGTGATAGTCAGGCATTCTTGAGATGAGATGGGATATAAACCCCAGGCCTGCCGTCTCCGTCTTGGGGTACTAAAGCATTGTAGTAGAATTTATAGTCCTCTGTAGAAGACAAATTACTCACAATGAAGAGGAAAAAAGCAGGAGTTGACTGCCAAGTGGCGCTTCCTCTCTGCCTTCACCACTCTTGTGTTTTAAAAAGTGATCTTTCTTTACCATACTTTTTAAAGATTAACTTACTTATTTTATGTATGAGTGCTGTGTCTGCATATATGACTTTATGTCACAAGAGGGCATCAGATCCTACGATAGATGGTTGTGAGCCACCATGTGGGTGCTGGGAATTGAACTCAGGGCCTCCAGAAGAGCAGCCAGTGCTCCTAACTGCTGAGCCGTCTCTCCAGCCCCCTTCACTGCTCTTAATAGATAAATTGGGACAAATGTTAAGCTTTAATTAATTACTTACTCATATGTAAAACTAAGAAAAAAACATGAAAAGAAAAATGTTTATCAAATTCATTGTTGGTTATTTTTCTTTTTTAATATTTGGTTTTGAATTTTTAGTAATTCCATATAATCCTTCAAGTCATGAAAGTTTGGACCAAGTTGGTGAAGAAAAGGAGGTAAGATAATTTGTCCTACTGTGTACAGCATCACTGAGCTTTTTAGAAAGACATAATCTTTTAGGACTATAATACTTTGACTTGATTACATATTATATTGTAACAGTAAAATACAAGGAAGACATTTAATGAGTTTACAGTATTATTTTGATTTAATTGCTTAATTAAGTAATTTTAATTATGAAATAATTTGAAAATTTATTTTCACTTTAGATAGATAAGCAAAAATTATACAGGAATAGCATTTAGTACTTGAAAATATTATTTGAAACACAATGTAGACACTTGCATTTTGCTTAAAGTATAAATGGTTAAATGTTTTAATTGTCATTTAAAATATAATTGTTACTGTTGTGTGTGTGGTGTATAGAAATAGGATGGCGTGCTGCCATGTGCATTGGGGGTCAAGACAACTCTGGAGTTGATACTCTCCTCCTTCCACCTGGGTATGGCTTGTGGGGATCCAACTTCGGGTGCTAGGTCTGGGTGGCAAACCCTTCCTGTAATACTTAAAATTTACTTAATAGTTATTTTTATGTGTATCTGTGTAAGAAAATGCCACAGATGTGCAGGTGGTCATGGATGCCAGAAGGGTGTGTCAAGTCATTGGAGGAGCAGTTCCAGGCTGCTGTGAGCGCCTGGGTGGGGGCTGAACTCAGATCCGCTGTAATAGCGTCAAGTGCTCTTAACTGCTGAGCTGCTGTTTCTCCAGCCGAAGTTTGTTCTAAAACAGAAATTAATTAAAACAATAAGTAGTTTTAGAAAAGCTTTTGGTAAAAAAGAACTTCATGTCTTACCTGCTCCATGTGTTGTCTTGGAGACAGCCCCTTTTAGCCTCTTCCAGTTGTGTGAATAGTACCTAAATCTCTGTTTTTCAAACGTGTGTATTTCTGGCCATGGAAGATCAGTCCTTGCCTTTTTTCTTTTCTCTTTCTAGTGTTTGATGGGTATGTTATTTTAGGCTTTTCTTGTTTAATCTTCCAACGTTTTATTACGGAAATTTGAAACAGAAGTGGCAGACAGAACATGGTAGCAAAGTCCCCTCCCATAAGCACTACCCAGTTAAAGTAACTGAACAGGAGTGGATGATCTTGTCACTCACTCGCTTTACTCTGGCAGAGTTCTGAAGTGCATCTGTTCATCCCATGTTTTTTTTTTTTTTTTTTTTTTTTTTGGTTTTTCGAGACAGGGTTTCTCTGTGTAGCTTTGCGCCGTAGCCCAGGCTGGCCTTGAACTCACAGAGATTCGCCTGGCTCTGCCTCCCGAGTACTGGGATTAAAGGCGTGCGCCACCGACGCCCGGCCATCCCATGTTTTTAATATGACATCTTAGAGTCTTGCTCTGATTTAGTCAGGTACCTTTTGTTTGTTTTCTTCTGTTCTTTGGAGTCAAGTTCTCATGTAGCCCAGGCTGTCCTGGAACTCCTTGCATATCTGAGGATCCTTCTTTCTCTCCCTTCCAGATGTGTTCACTGCCCTGTCCAGCCCAGCTGCACCCATGTCTGCACTCTGTTTTATCTACCTTATTCTTTCAGTTTTGTTTTTTAAGGCTATATATTTACTTCTACATTACTAAGGTTGTTAACATTTATAACCCACCTGCCACTGTGACCACATCTTCCTTGTTTTGTTCATAGACTGAATGAGTCAGACAAAGTAAGAACACCCTAGTAATAAAGAATGAGTCCTCTGTTCTTCTGGACCTGTATTAATCTGCTCTTCGGTGCTCGTGGACTCCTTTTTGTTCCTTTTAGAAACGGTCGTTGGCATTTTATCGTTGTCATCATTATTACTGCTTTGGTTGTTATGCCTTTTAAGTGACAGACGACGAGACATAGCTAGATGAAGTTTCCACACAGTGAGCACTGTGTGGTGGCCTCTCCAAAGGAAGATCCCCCCTCACTGCAGAGCCTGTCTTGAAGCTTCTGCTCACTGGCAGTCCCCCTCCCCCTCTGCTAAAGTAGCCGTTGTCTGTGCCCCTCACATAGCTTTGCCTCGATTTGCTCTTGTTCCCGCTGTAGAAACAGCCTCATACAGTGTTCGTGTCTCTGACTTCCTTCATGTAAAATAGATGCATGTTACACAGAGCAGTATTTCAGTTATTTTATCATTTCGGTTTATCTGTCCCACTCCAGTTTTCCCTTTCAGTTGGAATTATTTTGATAAGTTAGGAGGAAACAATCTTATATATAAATATGACATGGCAAGTGGCCCTGCTGATGAAGGCGTGTATGTCATCCAGCCACTCAGGAGGCTGAGGTCGGAGGGTAAGGTAAAGGGTTGCCTGGCCACTGAACACAGAGCCAGCCTCCTCGGCAGCTTAGTGAAGACCTGTTTCAAAACGGAAAAAAGATTGGAAAAGTGTTGAGTTGTAGAACACTTACCTAGCATATGTCAGGTCCTGGATTCAGTTCTTAGTACTACATAAAATAAACTTTTCACTCCCCAAAGAATTAATTATATAAGTAAATAAACGAGTTCGGGGCATGAGTAGTATGTACATTCCACTGCAAGAGACAATGGTCACAGTCCCATCAGCAGTGTGTGAGAGATCTAGCTGCTCCTCATTCTTCTCTGCGTGGTCTAGTCAGTGTCTTAAGTCAGTCCTTTGAGTGGAGATAGTGGCCACGTATGATTTTTCTAAACTTGTTTTTAAGATTATCATGATATTATTGGTTTATATACCTTGTAGCCTTAAGATTTAATACAAGCTGTTGATACTTTGATCATTTTCCAGAAGATGCACTTTAAATTAAACTGAGCTCTTGGGTTTAGATATATTTATTTTATGTGTATCAGTGTTTTGCTTGCATATATGTCTGTGTGCCACATGTGTGCCTGGTGCCTGTGGAGTTCAAAAGAGGGCATCAGATCCCCTGGCACTGGAGTTACAGACAGCTGTGGGCTGCCATGTAGGTGCTGGGAAAAGAACCAGGATCCTCTAGAAGAGCCGACAGCTCTTAACCTCTGAACCAGCTCTCCAGGCCCATGACCATTCTTTTTAAACAATTTGTTTTTATTGTTTTTAATTATTTGTATGTGTGTGTCTGTGTCGGTGTGTCTGTGTGAGTGCAGGTGCCTGCAGAAGCCAAGGAGTCAGATCTGGAGCTTTTATTTCCCCCCCTCCCCCTCTCCCCTTCCCTCTCCTATCTTCCTTTTCTTTCCTTGACACTTTTCACCAGAGGATTCCTGCTTTATTCTTGTGGGACATTTGTGGTTACATGTTGGTGACTTTGCAGTATTGAGCTATCGGCATGGTCCCTGAAGGTATTCTTTTTGGATTTGCAGATATCTTATAAAAGATTATCTTTAATTATCTACATAAATTGTCAGAAGTTTAAATTTCTAGTTTTGAATGAATTATAGAGGTTATTACTTTGCCATCCCTTTAATACCAAATCTGTCAACTGTAGTGCCTCGTGCTCATGTCCTGCCTGTAGCATCTCCTATACTGTGAGGAGTGTGTCCCCTCACAGCTCAGCTTACATTTATCTAACTTTTACCAGATTCTTAGCAGACTCTTCCATCTTGATATTCTGTTTAACTTTAATTCTGTTTGGAAAACTAAACAGATACACACGATTGTCCTTAAAATTTGTCAGGTTCTTTAAAGCATCCTTTAGCATTGCTTAGATTTCAAGTCCATTCTTTCTCCTTTTTAACTCACAAGCTCATCCTGTCTCTTAAAGATCGAAGGTTTTAGGAGAGATAAGAAAAGAGTTCAGAACTTAAAATATCTTATGTTATGAAAATACTTTAAAATCATTGTAGTTAGAACAGTTTGTTAGAAATATAAAATATTGAGGAAAACATTTCCAGGTAAAACTTTGTTGGTTAAATGTCTTCAACAGGCGACCAACACCAGGGAAAGTGGTAAAGCGTCATCAAGTCTGGGTCTCCAGGATTTCGATTTGCTTCGAGTTATAGGGAGAGGAAGCTATGCCAAAGTACTGTTGGTTCGATTAAAAAAAACAGATCGCATTTATGCAATGAAAGTTGTGAAAAAAGAGCTTGTCAATGATGATGAGGTAAGTGGTGATGTTTTTTCTACTTCTAGACAAACCCCAGTGTGCAGGAGGTCCTGGTTTAATCCAGAGTACCACACATACACAGACATAACCAAAGCGCACCACTTCAGCATTTCTGTATTATTATTTTGGTCTACTTTTCTAAGAACAGGCCTTAGGTAAAAATAAAGTCAAGGCTAAGGCATATTATTGTCAAGGGAAGTACTTGAGCTTTCTAAGAGTTCAAGACTGTTTCATAATATTGGACATTTTGTTAATGGTATTTTCTCTTTATATAAGTTTTGTTTCGTGACAGTAAGTGGTTTTGATATTTAGTCTAATCAGTTAACATTTGTGATCATTGACTTACTAAGAACAAATTTATCATGAGTTTTGGTCATTTCATTTGACATAGATTTCCTTGAACTTTGAAATAGGATATTGACTGGGTGCAGACAGAGAAGCATGTTTTTGAGCAGGCATCCAATCACCCTTTTCTTGTTGGGCTGCATTCTTGCTTCCAGACAGAAAGCAGGTAAGATTAAAAGGTGACAGAATGTCACTGGGCTTCATTTCATGTGCTTCCTGTAATTCCTGTGGGAGCACTTCAGAACTTCCTGCTACAATCAGCAATACCGATCTGACACCAGTCACTAGTAGGAAACAAGGAAAGAGAGGGAGAGGGGGAAGGGGCCCCTAAGAAACAGCATGGCTAGCCAGCCCTTGATGGCCTGCACATTCTCATCTGTGACATAATGTCTTCTTTACCTTAGGTGACATTCAAACGTGTCTCACCTAGTAAATAGCTCCTTAGCCCAAGAGTGGAATCGGTGTAGTTGTGCCGTGCTGGGCTGCTTTCCTGTGTCCATGCCTCTTGTTGCAGCTGAGTTTTAGGCGAGGACTGACTCCTTCAGAACACCTTTCTGCTGTGGCGATCGCTGTCCTATTGAAAATGCCTGAGCTGTCTGACTCGCTTTGACTCGCTCTGTGTGGTTTTCCCTGTTTCAGGTTGTTCTTTGTCATAGAGTATGTCAATGGAGGGGACCTAATGTTCCACATGCAGCGACAGAGAAAGCTTCCTGAAGAGCATGCCAGGTAAGTGAGCTTTGTTTGAGTTGGATCTCTTCCTTAGAGCTGCCTGACCTTTCGGGGCTGCTAGTCAAAAACAGTCCATCAGCAAGTTACCTTGTTGCCCCTGTATTCTGTGTAAGTCATGAGGAGACTGGACTAGTTAATTTACATAGTAGATTGTAATATGCCTATTACATATTATAATCTGCTATTTGTGTCCATTGTATATTTAGGGTTTTCAGGTGGTGGCTGTTCATAACAAAATCATACTTTTTTTTCAATTCAAGGTTTTACTCTGCAGAAATCAGTCTAGCTCTAAATTATCTTCATGAGCGAGGGATCATTTATAGAGATTTGAAGTTGGACAATGTGCTGCTGGACTCTGAAGGACACATTAAACTCACGGACTATGGCATGTGTAAGGTGAGAGACCCTCCAGACAGCTGTGACTGTCAGTTAAGGAACTTCGTATTTGGGTAGGAAATGATCACTGCCTTGATTAGGATGAATGTACACCCTGGCCATCCGCAAAATTCCATGTCATCTGGGATATGTGTGCTATGTAGGGTTAGTTGTTTTAATTGATTGTAACTTTTTGTCTTGAAAGCTGTTATGCTTTTGAAGAAAAGTTGGAAATAAAAATTTGCCTACAGTCCTCATTATGTTAACACAGTACTTTTATATCAGTTTCCAATCTTTCACCTTTTAGTAGACCCTGAACCTACTTTGCAGATTTTCCTTGGGAGTCTGTTTTTGTCCTTAAATTTCAAATCTCTGACATAAAGTATGATAAAAGTCAAGTAAGCGTTTCACTTTGTCTGTGTTGGTGTTGAGTCTTTGGCAGCACTGTTTCGTTTGGAGGTCTGGTCTTTTCCCGCGATGTGTCTAGAGAACTGTTCTACTTAGTAACACTGCTCCAACAAGACACCCCAGGTGTGTGAGTGTGCATTGTGTTCATCCACCTGGAGGGTTGCACCAGAGCAGGACTCCACATTCTTACATTCATAAACACTCAAATGGTATTGAGGCTTTAATGTTACTTTCACATAATGTATAAAACTCAAGACCATTTTTCCTATGATACACCTTAAATTATTCTCTTACATAAATTTTTGTTTGTAAATAGGGAAAAGGTTTAGTCAGTGGACTCATGTATCCTTCACTTACATTCAGGATACTGTTTTGTTCTGCCATTTTTACCCCCCTAGAGTGTTTTTTTTTTCTCTCTGGTTAAAAAAAAAAAAAAATTAATCCCAGCGCTTAGGAGGCAGAGGCAGGTGGATCTCTGAGTTCAAGGCCAGCCTGGTCTACAGAGTGAGTTCCAGGACAGCCAAGGCTACACAGAGAAATCCTGTCTTGAAAAACACTAACTAATCACAATAATAGTGGATTCTTTTAAGTTTCAAGAGCAAATAAAAATATGAAAAGTATTAATCTGCAAATTAGGACAGTGGTTTCTTTCTTTCTTTCTTTCTTTCTTTCTTTTTCTTTTTTTTTTTTTTTTTTTTTTTTTTTGAGTCACTGTTTGAATATTAGTTAGAATTACCAATTGTACAAGGAGGCAGAGGCATGATGATTCACCTTTGCAAGGCTGGAGCAGGATGGTCCTGAGCTCAAGGCCAGCCTGGCAAGAATTTACCCCCAGCCATCTCCCTAGCCTTCAAGGAGTCTTTCTTTTATAACTCTCTGTCCTTCCCTTTTCCAGATGAATTTAACCATACTTAAACCATGTAGATGGGTACATGTAACATATTTGGTTGTTGGATTAGTTTTATTTCCTGTTTGTTTGGGTGGGTTTGGTTTTGTTCATTTGAGACAAGGTCTCAAAACCTGTGTAGTTGAGGTTGTCCCTGAGTTAATAATCCTCCTGCTTTAGTCTTCAAAAGGCTGGGATTACGTGTGTAGCACCATGCTTAGTTTTTTCTTTTTAGTTTCAATTTTTAATCTAACATTTTCTCTGTTTATTAGTTACTGGTGTGTGGGATATATTTTCTGATATAGAAATGTTAGGATCTCATGATTGAAGACCATGACATTTTCTTAACATGTTCATTTTTATTCTTAAAGAATATGTTAATAGGTATACAAAAATGTATATTTGTTTCAGTTCTTAATGGTTGTTCCATTTATTATTGAGTATTTTCTCTACTTGACTTGTGTGTGTATTGTGCCTTAATTGTTCACCAAAGCAGAAGAAATGCTCCGCAGAAAAAGTGACCAGGGGGCTGAAGAGATGGCTCAGAGGTTAAGAACACTGACTGCTCTTCCAGAGGTCCTGAGTTCAATTCCCAGCAACCACATGGTGGCTCACAACCACCTGTAGTGAGATCTGGTGCCCTCTTCTGGTGTGTAGACATACATACAAACAGAACACTGTATACACTTAATAAATAAATAAATAAATCTTAAAAAAAAAAAAAAAAAAAGAAAAGAAAAAGTGACCAGCAGAGCATTGTCATGACAACAGTTGTGTAAGATGATTAATTTTAGTCACGTGAATTCGATTTTGTACTGAATTTTAACAAATATTTTGTTGTATATATTTGTTTGTATATTTATTTGTTGTGCATACAGTGTTCTGTCTGCAGGCCAGGAGAGGGCACCAAATTTCATTACAAACGGCTGTGAGCCACCATGTGGGTGCTGGGAATTGAACTCAGGACCTCTGGAAGAGCAGCCAGTGCTCTTAACCGCAGAGCCCTCTCTCCAGCCCAACAAATATTATTTTAAAAGCAGGTTTTTGTTTGGTTTGCTTTGGGTTTTGTTGTTGTTGTGGGGTTTTGTTTGCTTTTTGTTTTTGTTTTTTTGAGACAGGATTTCTCTGTGTAGGCCTGGCTGTTCTGGAACTCACTCTGTCAACCAGGCTGGCCTCAAAGTCGAAGAGATCCACCTGCCTCTTGCTAAACTGACTTTAACAACATCTAGGGTGAATAAGTTTTCATTACGATATTTAGTAACAATGACAGTTTTCATAATAAAGTAACTGTTTCTAGTGATGTTTTTTAGGTTTAATGTATTGCATATACATGCTGAATTTAGACAGATGAAATGGAAGAGGTAAATTTTGTATCTTTTTTTTCCTGCTTTTTTCCCCCTATGAAAGGAAGGATTACGGCCTGGAGATACGACTAGCACTTTCTGTGGAACTCCCAATTACATTGCTCCTGAAATTTTAAGAGGAGAAGATTATGGTAATAAATAAATAGGTGGTATTTTAGCTATTGCTATATTGGTGGTTTAATATGGTACCAATGACAGTGTAATATGCTATAGCATTTTATTACTCATTAATATAAGCTTTTCTTGATTCTGTTAACCTACATGAAAACCCTCAGATTCTGAAACCAAAGCCAAAAAGAGTTTGGTATTTGGGGGAGTATACATTTAAATACTTTACTAGTGACAAACACTGAGCATGGCCAGAACTGCTATAAACAGTTAACTCTAAGCTTTCTTATAAACCTGAGGTCAGCATTACTGACCCATTTTACAAATGAGGAAACTGATGTACAGAACAGTTTGAATAATATGCCTAGATCACAGTAGCCAGGAAGTCCCACATACTTTTAAACCATCAGCTGTGTGAAGCCAGTGTCTTGAACTTCTAGAAGATTGTTCAGGTTCCTGGGTATTTCCCCTAGGAGTCTAAACGATGGAGGCTGGGTGCTTGTCAGGCATCAGACACTACATTTTTTTTTTTTCCTGAGCCAGGGTCTTTCTACATGACCCTGCCTGTCCTGGAACTTGCTATGTAGCCAGGCTGGTCTTGAACTCATAGAGACCTGACTGCCTCTGCCTCCCGAGTGCTGGAATTAAAGTGCATCACCACATCTGGCTTCCATTAATTTTTTTTCATCTATATTTATTATTTTTGTTAGTGCTTTGAGAATTTCATACAATATGTTTTGATCCTACCTTCCCACTTCCCGTTCCTCCCAAATCCACCTTCGACTTCCCTTCATCCAGCTGTGTCTTTCTCTTTTTCCCTCTTGGTGTCCGGTTTGTGCTGCCCACGGGAGCACGGTCAGCTTAGAAGGAGCAGCTCTCTTAGAGAAAACCCCTCCCCAGCAGCTCTCGCTCGCCGTAGCTCCTCGTGTCTGCCTGCCTTACGTGCTGGCATTCAGCCTGACTGGAGTCTCCCGGGACTTGTGGGTGCTCTCCCAGCCGCTGTGAGCTCAGAGCTGCCCTGCTGGTCTGGAAGCTCTGTTCCCTTGTATTGGTCCAGCACCTCCTGCATTTATAGTCTCCACCCTCTTTCACCACGATCCCTCTCTTGGGAGGAGGGATTCTTACATAGATGTTCCTTTTAGGCTTGGACCAAGTATTTCTGTAGTTCTTAGTGCCTACCACTCTATTTATAATCTAATTAGAATTTACTTCTTCATCATGTTTACATTTTCATCTCATGATAAATTCCTGATTGCTGCCTTTTCATGAATACAGAGAAGATTTATTATTTAAAATTTCTTTCCAAAGGCTTCAGTGTTGACTGGTGGGCTCTTGGAGTGCTCATGTTTGAGATGATGGCGGGAAGGTCTCCGTTTGATATTGTTGGGAGCTCCGATAACCCCGATCAAAATACAGAGGATTATCTATTCCAAGGTAATTCCCAGTATTTTGTAGAGATTCTCTGTGAATGACCTAGAGCAAAATTACAGCTTTCAAATTATAATTCTGAGTAAGAAAAAAAATAATTTGGACATGCACTCCTGACTTTGTGATAGTTTGGATAATTTTTAAATGCACCCTCCCTGCTTCTCTAGTCTGCACTTCCATTCACAGTTTCCTTCCCACATCAAACTCCTAACGACGCAGCTGAGTTTGTCTGTCCTGGATGCTGAAGCAGGGAATCTACTGCCTAGAGAGACTAGTCTTGGTGCAGGAGCCCTCGGCTTCGTGCCCAAGTTCAAGAAAAGTAGAGTGTGAAGATGTCAGAGCTCAGAGCGCTGTTAAGGACTCGGGGCGCTCACAGTGAGAACTGCTTGCTAACAGTCAAACGGAACAGAAGCAGGAGCCACGCCCAGGGACCTTTACCACAAAGTGTGACAATGGCCACAAAATTCTGCATTTAGTAGTTAAAACCTCACAGGATGCAGAGATGGTTAATGTTGTAGGGAACCAGAGGGCCATTAAGACTGTGAGAAGCCCCTCGGGCTCACTAGGAATTAGAAAAATACACACTAAGTGTTAATGTGCTACAGTTTCATGCCTATGCATTTGACAGAGACTTTGGTCTGATAATAACTGGTTAGTGCTCATGAGGGTATGAGCAGCGGGAGCTCTCAGGACTGCTAGTGTGTGTGTGTGTGTGTGTGTGTGGGGAGTTGACAGTGGCTTTGGAGAATAATTTCACATTTCCTAGTGCAATTTTGTGTTACGTTTGCAAGAACTTGACATTATTAACTTTCGTGTGTCATAAGAACACTGAAGCAGGTATTGTTTCTATTTCTGTTTACAGAGGAAAACACTGAGGCACAGTTAGATAGTGAAAAGTAAAACATGTTTGTAAATAGTAAATACAGTGTTCAGATAAGAGGCCAGCTGTGAGAAGGAGGGTCAAGGGATTAGGAAAATACATAAAGTGTTTCAGTTATGTAGATAATGGTTTTCTGCTGGAACACCTTAAATAGCTCAGAATCTAAAGAAAAAACTTAAACGTCCAGGCCACATAAAAAGCTGAAAATTGTACTGTCATTCTTATCTTTCTAGTTATTTTGGAAAAGCAAATTCGCATACCACGTTCTCTGTCTGTAAAAGCAGCAAGTGTACTGAAGAGTTTTCTCAACAAGGTAAGAATTGTGTGTAAAATCTAATGTGATTTCTTTACCTGTGTAAGTCGGCCTGGTGAGCGGAGGAGGCTCAGCCTGGTGAGCGGAGGCTCAGGCCTGGTAATTGGAGGCTCAGGCCTGGTGAGCGGATATGCAGCCTGGTGAGCGGATGTGCAGCCTGGTGAGCGGATGTGCAGCCTGGTGAGCGGATGTGCAGCCTGGTGAGCGGATGTGCAGCCTGGTGAGC